TCATATAAAAGGGATACCACTTTACATAAAAACTCATTAGAAATACTAAATTATATTAAAATATTATTGAGTACAACATCAATACAAATTAAACATGAACTTTAATTTCATCATTGCCATGGCGATTTTCATCATCGTTAGTATGTTTGTAAGTATCAAAATGTTATATCGTAGTTTATAGTTAAATCATTTAAGTTATAATTTGTATATGTTTTATTTATATTAGCTGAAATAATGAAGTAGGAAAATTGAAATGTTATAAATCATAATAAAAATAAGTTATATTTCTAGACGTAGGTCAGGCAAAGTTAAAAATCTGCAAATGATATATTATAAGCATATGAAATACGTTTACGAAATGATATTATTATTGCCAAACTATTGGGTATCGCTTAACTGAAATCACTTAGAATATTATTTAAATTTAAAATGAAATAATTGAAATAACTTAACATATTTTGTTTATATTATATGAGGTATACATATATATATATATACGTACTTTTCAATTTTGTAATAGCCGATGATACTATCAACACTTGAAAAATAATAGCTTAAATTCAATAAACTGTGTAAATTAAATTTTATATTATAATAACTTGAACTCAAACTAACGAAAATAAAATAAAAGGATTTAAACAAATAGTACATGCATTAGAAATAAATATTTTGTGATCGCATTTTCTCATTTTCTCGAATCTATTTCAAGGTTTAGTATCCCGTAGGTAGAATTATCCTCTGAGACAATATTATGTGAATATATTTTTATTGTTATTTGCACTATATAATATGTCTGTATGTATACAGGTACTCCAAAAATAAATTAAATTAATGCAATTCCGCGTGTTATGTGTTTACTGTTGAGTTAATTTTCGCTAGCGCGGTATCGTTGGATTCAGAAATTGAAAGAATTTTTTTTTGTTCAAAACCTCAGAAAATAATTACCAGACTCTACTTAAGCGTTATGGACACCATGACACACAAACTATAGGGTGGCCAGACGTCCCGTTTTACACGGGATAATTCCGTATTTTAAAAGTCTGTCCCGGTGTCCCGAAAAAAGCTCCCATGACGCTTAATTTTTTTTAAAAATATTTCCCAGGTAAAAATATGCCACTCAAAAATGTTCACACTAGTTGCCTCTCATTTAGAATTACAAGTAAAGGTTCATAATCTTCACTAAAATATACCTCGTAAATAGATGTATTAAACATAATTACTGTTTTAAGTAGGTTCATAGTGTAATGCATCAAAAATTAGCTCATGAAATGTTACTTTACAATAATATACTAACTAGAGTATTATAGTTAAGTAGGTAGGTACTTTTAATAAAATATAAATAATGGGGCTTGGAATTTCGACTATCTTTACCTTATTTTTATTACCTATATATTAAATCTTCTATATATTATTAAGAACGTATTTACTTTTTACCAGTAGCGAAAATAGAGTGGGGCTTGGGGAGCTTAACCCTCCAAAATCGTTCAAAGTCCACTAAAAAAAAAAAATATAACATATATTATAATTTTCAAAAATATTTCAAAAATATTTCTTGGTTTTATTTATAAAAAATAATCAGGATTGTACATTAATTGTAGTAATATTATTTATTCGGAGTTATTATAGTTATAAGTAGTAATAATTATATTAGTCATTACTCGTAATAGTGTAATACAATATTGTACATGTATTTACATAACTGCTATAACAATTATAAATTATTATGTATTCAGTATTTATGTGTTAAATATAAGTCTATTATATTATTACTCTATAACTTTATATTTTTATGTAGTATAATATAGGTAATACAACTAGCTGAGTAACCCGGGTTCTTCCGAACGCATTTTTTTATACTAAGTACAAACTAAACCATTTTTATACCAAAAACCACACTTAAAGATTAAAATTGAAGCAGTTAGTTCTATTTCTCCGTATTCAGGTGATGACAGACACACCAAACACACACACAAAAACACACTCGTATAATTTATAATAGGTATTTTAAAATCAATACTATTTTATGGCTCCGATCGGATTCTAAAATGTGATTTAAGAGACTTTTAATTAGATTAGCCTCTGTAAGGGGATGTAAAACACTGTCGAATCTAAAACAAAATGATTGGTAGTAGTTATGTTTCTACAATATTAGTTTATTCAATTTTAAAGAAAACTTTGGTAGGTAGATACTGTTATTATTAAGATTAAAATTAATAAATGTATGCATAATCAAAGTAATAATTATTGTATATCTAATTGTTTAGAATTTAGCACAAGTCGATGCACAAGCATCATCTGGTCCTAGTACGCCTGGCACGACTACCCCACCAACAGGCCAATGTCCATCTTATCCTCCTAAATAATCTACAGGAACATCATAACCAACAGCAACTACTCGATAAGAATATTAAATATGACTATAGTTGCAAGTCTGATATAATTCAATAATTTATCTTATATACTTTCTGATGACTAATGCACCTATTTTGTATGCAAATACAGTTGTATTTACACTAAGATGTATACTCATATTATATACCCATTAAAATACAAAATACATGATTTATCCAAATTTTAATACGTTATTGTAACATTGCACTTAATAATTATGTATGCTTCCAAAAATAAAAATTTGAAAAAAAAATTGATTTTATTCTACTATATTATTACTTGTGGTTATGAAACAACTTCAAATAAAAAATACACAGGTACCAATAATATTGGTCAAAACAGGTATGTATGTCAACTTAATTTATCCTTCAATATCCTTTTTTATGTGGTTTTAAGGTCTATTTCAATGTTCTTTCACTTTCAAAATGCAAACTATGTTACACATATTTTGTGCATCATTTTTGCAGAAATTTGCACCAAGTCTCATCGTTTGAGCAGAAAAACTTAAGAAATAAGAGCTATCATAAAATCAAAATGGAGGAGTCATTGAAACGGTAGCACTCCGTTTCGTAAATTTGAAGTTTTGACCGTGTCTGCATCGTTTGTGCCGAAATGTGCAACAAGCACCATATTATAAAATATATTATAATTTATGGTTAAAACTTACCGAAAAATCACCAATAAAATATGAGGAAGGCATTAAGTTAATTGTTTTCAAGTCCAGGTGTTAAAATTAAAAAATATATATATAACATTTTAAACACCTACAAAATAATTTATACATATTCGTGATGTTGACGAATTTTCTTAAACTTTGATCTAAAAACACTAATACCTATTAAATATTTTAGATATAATTTTGTAATTTTTAAAAAGAACTTACGAGGAACTTTGTAATGAATGTTTTACTTATCGTTTTTAATCACAAAACAAAATTAACTGATTATAAATAAAAAAAACAACAACAAATAAACTTAACATTTTCTTATATCTATAATTTAAGTAGCGTAAAAAGATTCAAAATATTTTAAAATTTATTTCATACCTAGAAAATGTTTAGAATACTAATACTTGATGAATACACTTATCAAGTCTCTAAGGTAATGTAGTAATTCATTTTTGTCTAGTTACGCCTATGCAGACGGCTATAGTAATATTAAACAATATTATACATATTAATATATATCTATTAATTAGGTACATTATTTATTTGAAGAAAATTCCTAGCTAAACTAATTTTTATCTGTATGTGCAATTTTGCGAGTGCTTATACTATTTGAAAAATCAATTTTCAATATCATTGGTAAATTAAATTATAAAATTATACAATAATATGACTTTTATCGCTTTATTTTTTGTTGGTAAACAGTCTAAATATGAATGAAATACTTATGAAAAAATTGCAACAAACATGAAAAGGTATTTTTCATAAAAACTCTTAATAATATTAAATACAAAATAATTTTGTTGTACTAATACTATTTTTTAAAAATTAATTATTTCAATGTAATTGTATTTATAGTTGTATTTTCTTCAAATATCACGTTATACATTTTTAGGTTACATGTTATGTATAAAAAGAATGGGTTTTAAATGTATTTTAAGCATTGACAACTGAAATTTGTATAGTAACCTTTGGCTCTACAATAAATAAAATACTAAAAAAGTTTATAATTTACACTAAGTTAAGTATGAAAGGCATGGATTTATAATTATTTCTATCCGTGTCAGCACTAGATAAGAATTTAATTTTATTGTTATTACCTTTACAAGGTCCGTGTTCCAATATATTTTTACCTTTTGAAATCATAATCTCTATTTTTGTAATTACTAAAAACTTACCTACACAGATGTGTGAGGTCTAGTTTTGAAATTATATATGGTAATAAAACTAAATAAGATAGAGATTTACCAGCCATACCACGAGGCACACGATTTTTAACGTAACACGATATATATTTTTTCTTTTAAAAGATCAAAATAAACTAATTTATTTTTTGACAATTTACTTCGTACCTATTTCGTCAGAACTTTACTACTATTTTGCTACATGTATACGTACATACTCTTAGATTGTTCTAGAGCTGAAATTAGTTTTCCTTATTTTAATTTTAGAATTATACAACGAATTCAATAGTGAGGTAATCGTTGTTCATAGTTAGTTGTCTACTCTTAAAACATTAATGAGTAAATTATTAATATTATTAATCTACATTTATGTGTACGTAGGTCGTTGGAAAAAACACTTGTCCAGGACTTAAAATGGGTAATAATTTTTACAATAAGTGTAGACAATGGGTACAACAGTTAAATAATATCAAAGATATATAGTTATTCACCTACACAGAAACCTAGGTTAGTGCTAAATGGAGCCACCAAAAAAAAAAAAAAACAATTTTCATAAAAATATTTATTTTTTTACTAATTAATTATATTAGGTATTATTAGGTATAATTAAAAAATACAATTAAAAATTAAAACTTAAAAAATGTGGTACTTAACATATTATTATAAAATCAAATAAAAATTCACACTTTTCGGTAATGATATTCGATAATTGATAAGTATGATTTATGATGTTATTGCAGTTACGTGTGTTGATCATATTATTATAAGCAGATATTCTCCAACAATTCTTCTCGTATGGCTTCCGCCAGTAATAATATTCCCTAAAATAATAACAATATTATCTTAAACTTCGAATATACTTGGTTGATTTTTTAAGGAAAAACTAATAGTACAACATTAGTGTGAAAAACCAAATGATGAAATGGACAAATTGTTGTGAAAACATCGATTTCACGTAGGTATCTAGTGGCTACGATATGTCTACACAAACCTATACTAAACTATAACAGCTGTACAGTAACTGTGTAACTGTACTATTATGAGTGTAGTGCGAAAAAGACGTTTCCAATTCATGAAATGCACAACTACCGTTCATGGAAAAATAATCTCTTTACCGTCCAAAATAGTAGCATACTACTATAGCTAGATATTTTTCCCCTGCGAGGAAAATTAAAGAATCATAGTTTATTTTTGGGTATAGTGCAGTGGAAAAATATCCAGTAGAGTGCTACATTTTGTTAGAAATTTAATCAATTCAAAATTATAGACTGATTTGTAATGTATATTTTATTGATATGAGTTTCTACGGCAAAAACAAAGCACTCAAAACAAAAACAAAACAAACAATCGGTTAGAAATTGTATCCACCCCACAAACAGGCACGAATCCAGAGCAAACATCTAGGGGGGGCCTCAACAATTTTTTTACAACATAAATACAATTATAATAAAATATTATACTTTACTAAAAATGTTGTCATAATAGTAGGTACGTATATTAATATTTATAAAAAATTATGTCTGGAGGGGCTGGGCCCCTAGGCAACCCTTGATCCGTCCCCGCCCACAAACATATCAATGTTAAAATCGATTTCACGATATGGCAACGACATATCTATTATCTATACAAACCTTTTCTAAACTATAACTACCATTTATATTCTTTAATACATAGTTGGCCAATTGTGAGGAAACGAGTGCCCGGGATCTATCCTTCCCCAAGACCTTTTTTTCAAAATTCTGATAACCGTAAATTATAATTTTAATAATCAAATAGTGCATGTTAAAAAATCAACCCTATCTCCAGGGGGGGGGGGGGGTTCTTGATAAAATCATTTAACAGCCACTGGCGTAGGCATGGGTAGGTACTGATTGTAAAAGATTAAAAGGAATATTACAAATATTGCAAAAATCACTTACCCGATCGACATCTTCTGGTGATGCAATGGAATATGAAATTCGAATATAGGGACTTGGGTTTTCATTATTGGCTGATAACGCATATCCAGGAGCTAAAATTATTAGTTTATCTAAACATCTATCAGTTACTAGTTTTTTGGCATCGTTCAGTCCAATTATTTTCAACCACAGAAACATGCCACCATTTGGCTCGTACCATTCAGCTAATCCTGTTTAGAGTAAATAACGTATATTTAATATATTATTTATTCGGATATTTTTATGATAACAAAGGTTAAGTGATAAAATTCCTGTCAATTTCACCAGTAATATTTAAAGATTATTCTGTTATACACAAATATTTGTCTTATATAGTGTCATTTTTTAAGTTACCTATATATTGATACATTTTAAAAAACTATTTTAATTTATATTTAATAAATACATACATAGTTTTTATATACTTACTTATACACTTGTAAAGTGTTATAACTAATATTATTTGTCACACATAACTTTTATTAATATTTATATCTGTACCTATAGTATGATGCAATATATTACCAATGAACTGTTTCCTAATAAAAGTGTAGGTACCTACACTCTACATACATATTATCTTCGATATATTTCGACTTTTTTATTTATCCACTATAAATTATATTTGCTTTGTACTCAGCGATTATTATTTAGCTATTGTTATTTTGATATTTTTGACGCATACCATTTAAGTACCTTAAAAAACTGTTAAATCCAACAAAAAGTTAATTTTTTTTTGTTTTATAAAGAAAAACAAATATTTACAATCTGTATAATAGAAAATACAATAAGTAATAAATATAAAAAAAAGTGTAGAAAGCTTGACGGCTTGAGTGAAGGGCGTCCAGTAACGCTACTTCAACTTGATTGGATTTGTATAGCTTGTAGTTTTAATTTTTTTAATTATTTATTTAGGTGTACGCGTGCCCAATAGTAATTGAAGAGAAGTTCAATATTAAGGGATTTGAGTGGGCTTTAGTGTTGGAGTAGAGTTTTTTTTAATGAGTGGAAGAAAGTACAGATAGTGTAGGTATTTTGAGATTGTTTGACTTATGAAAGGTGTTGTTTCTAACGTATACCATAGGCTTTGGTTAATAAACGTAAGCTTATTGGCTGAAAGGATTGAAAAAAATTTAGATTTGAGACTTAAGTCGATCCCCAAATTTAGATTCCATAAGTCATTGTAGAACGAATCAGTTGTTTAAAATTTTAAAACGGTTAATCAAAAAAAAAAAAAAAAAACATGAAATGGTAAATAACTCCACTAGATTCCTAAACCGACCTCATAATTTTAGACAATATTTTGATTTTGATTTTGTTTTAAAAAATTTTTTCTTTACCATTTCAAGAATAATTATTTATTGTATTGGATGCTTACCGTGAAGATGTTTATTAATCGCACACATCATGTAATCCAACTTTTGCTTGTAAAAGTTTTTGACATGCATGAAATGAGAAATTAAACCATCTTCACCCCAATGTGATAGGAGTTTGTATAAAAGTACTTGTGATAATGATGAAGTGTGCATTGATGATGTTTGCATGTGTAGCTCCATTCTATGCAGTAACGTTATGGGTCCGGTTACGAAGCCAACACGTAAACCAGAGCTCATGATTTTTGAAAACGAATCGAATCGAAGCACACGACCCTCCGTGTCCATAGACAAAAAACTCACAGGATTTTCCTAAAAAAATATTTCAGTTAATCAATTATTGTTCATTAAGTACTAATCATAAATAAAAGGGTTGAAAGTTACTTTTTCGAAATGTAAGTAGTAATATGGATCGTCTTCAAGAATAAGCATATTATATTCACAAGCTAATCGATAAATTTCACGTTTTCTATGTGTGGGTAATGTAGTTCCAGCAGGGTTCGATGCAGTAGGGTTCACATAAATCATCTATTATAAAAATTTTACAAATTTTTCATTTTAATGTGATATTTTATTATATAGCACTTAAACAAGTTAAGTTTTACCTCGCCATTTATAATGAGTAATGATGACTAACTAACGGATGTGTTAATTTGTAATGAGAAGATCTGTTAGCCTATTATTATCAAATACAATTTGAATGTTTTGAAAATGTAATTTTGTATATAAAACATAATAATATAGGTACCTACAATTATCAAACTCCAGCAAAATTTTTTTTTTTGAAATGGAACGAAATAAAAGTTATAAATAACATTATTCTTCGTTTATTTGGCGTAAGAATTTTTATTAATTTGTTTTTTTGTTTTCGAAAAATACTAGGGAATTTTCAATGTTGACTTCTCAAAAGTCTTATGAAGTAACAATAATAGATACAATAATTTTCTATCAAAAACCAGTAACCACCTTCAAAGGATAAAGATGAGAATTCTAAAATCGAGCTTGGTTGGCGAGTGTAACGAGCAGGGGTCAAAGGGTCATAGCATTTATGAAATACACAAGTACATTAATATATATATTATATAGTAGGTATAGTAGCTTACTTTGGGTATCGGCATCATTTTTCTTTTTCTTTCAGCTAAAACTTTCTCAATTTCTTCCACGACTATACCACAAGAATCTTGTACTATCGGTATGATCTCAGCATCATATGGTCTGAACTGCAAATATTTATGTTTACTATAAGATACCATGATCAAATTAAATTGAGTTTCAATAAATATATTAAATATTAATATATAGACAGGTTATTATTTATTATTAGTAATTAGTTAGGTATTATAGGTACTTAGGTATTAAACATACAGACTACAGTTAACTTAGTATTTGAAATAATAACTTTTCAGTTGTAAGATATATAGGTATATATATTATGTATACATTTGAATGATTTCGAAATTTAATTTAAATGCATAATGTTGGTAATTTATCGAAAGCTTTACCAAGTCAACGGCTCCTGTATATACAGGATCAGGCATAATCACTGGGTCGTTGCAACGCATGCACATGTCCACGGCCTTGGATAATCCTTCTTGTGCGCCAGATGTCATAATGATACTTCTTTTATTCCAATGTTGAGGTCCATGAAACCTATCTTGTATTTCTTCCAATATATTTATCAACGGCAGATATCTATAATAGGAATATTTACATAATAATATTATATTAGATTTGCCCTTGATAAACGAATACATTCATATCCGGAAAAAAAATTGAAAATCCTTATCAAATCTTATAGTTTTTCAACGAATTCAAGTCATATTTTTGTTAGGTTATTTTCTGCATCCATTATGTCTCTTATTCAGTTTTTTTAGTCTATTGCTTCAGGCTACTTATCATTCATTTAATAATAATAATAACAATTATTATTTATTTTTTTTTTTAATATACCTATGACAATATTATCGTACCATAGAATTGCATCAAGTTCTACGATAAAGTATAACAGACACGCCACAAACAACTCGTACGTACCAAGTATAAATCTCGAAAAGAATTTTCGATTTTTATGATTTATAATCTTTATCTACTGCACGCAATTCGATTTAAACTAAATATTTACGTTATTAAATAAAATAACATTTTATTACATTTTTATAAACTACTAGCCGACCCGTCACAGCTTCTCTCGTAATTGGTAGTTTATTTTTCCTCCGGATGATGATATGTATAATTTTTATTCAAATTTTATCTCTTAATGTGATCGGCAAGTAAATATACAAAACGGTTAATGAAAATGTATTGAAATGTTTCTACCTGGCGGTATTAATGATAATTGATAAATATATTTTTATTAAAAATAGATGACCCCGTGCACTTTATTGCCCGTTAAATGTACCAACTCTCTATGACTCAAACTTTGTTCAATTCGTTATTTAATATTCAGTGTATGGCGTTCAAAAACCCGGGCAAAAGTTACTTTAAGTGAAATACATTGGCAATATTATAACTTATAAGTATAAGTTCAAGGAATCAAAAACGAATTAATTGTAAATAATATTATTATAGCTGATCCCGTTCAATTCGTTGATCGTTAAAATATGTATCAACTTTATATTATATGATTCAAACTTTGGTCAATTAGTTTATTTAATATTCGGTGTATATGATACACGCAGTATGTTAAATGTTTTCAGTTAGGCAATCCACCTGCGGTGAACCCTCGAAGTGCGTACGTAATTACGAATGTTTATTAACAGCTATCATATAATGTTACATTATAAAAAATTTAATTTAATTTAAAAATAAACGCAAACGTTGATATTACGATGTGCTGTGTCGAAAAATTAGTCTTGGGAATACCTTTTTTACGCAGCTATCTAGCCTATCTGCTAACTTTGTTTAATTCGTTATTTAATATTCGGTGGATGGCGTTCAAAACTTATCTTAACCTTTCCGTTGCCCAGAAAAAAATTCTGATTCGCAGCAGTATATTAGCAGGTAGGCAATCTATCCGCGGTATATCGCGGACCCCGTGCTGTTTGTACTTATGTGTATGGTTTACCTCTAGAGTATCAAAGTTACTAAGCTATCTGCTATAAAGCTAAAGGTCTAAAATTATTTTCATTATTTAATCATGATCAATAGGCAATAGCAACCTTACAATTACAACAAACAAAAATATATTGTTATTTAGTTATTTACTGGATAGATGGCACCTACATCCAGATTTCCTAATTTTCGGGGGGAATTTCTTAAAATTATCTTACTTTAGAGTTAAGAACCTTCTCGTGACCATTACGAATACAACAAAAAAATTCTGTCCAGCCGTTCACGGAATATATATTTAATTGGGGTTTCGTCAATTGCGCCGAATTTGGGACACTACCTGTATAGGGGGCTAGGTAAATTGAGTCCGAGATAAGTTTGGTACATTTTGAAAGCGGTAAATTGAGTCCCGGGAAAAAACAGGTAGGAGGTAAGTTGAGTCCCGGGAAAAAAAAGGTAGTAAGTAAATATTATTTATATAAAGATATATAATATTTAGATTTATATAAATTAATTTAAAAAAATTATTGTTGTTAAAAATTATCATTATTATAATATATATATTATGTACTTGGTAAAAACTTCATTGATATTGATTTAATAAACTCAAATCGGGTTATAACATTACCGGTGTATTTGGTCATTTGCTCCCTTAGGTTTTGTTCGTTATCGATCATGCTTTTCTTTTTTTAATTTTTACTTATTAATTTTATTTGTGTCTCTGACTGAACTTCAAGTAATTCATCAATAAAGTTAAAAATATTCGGATGTGGACTGTAAACGCGTCGGTTTAATCTCGAATGATACGATTCACAACTATTGGTTGTACGCACGGTTGTAGCAGCAAATGCGGACCAAATATTCGGAGAAAATCGGTGAGATAGTAAGATGACGGTATCTTACTATCTCACTTTATATTATAGTATATACGTACGAACAAGTCCTTACTTATCGGTACCTATCTTAATTGTGTTTAACCAAAGGTACGATGTTACAAAGTTATGGACTTTTATTGAATGTGAATGCTTTGGTGTTGTTAAGAGTGTATCGTTGGGGAAAAATATTATTATATAATTAATAATTATTATTTAAAAATCGTTTCCCCGGGACTCAACTTACCTACTACCTTATTTTTTCCGGGACTCAACTTACCTACTACCTGTTTTTCCCCGGGACTCAATTTACCGAGTTAGGGTCATTTGGGACTCAATTTACCAATCCCGCTGTATAGTATACACCAGCGGTTCCCAAACTTTTTTAGCTCACGGCGCCCTTTTTGAACTAAACTTTTCTCAAGGCGCCCTTCCCAAGACATAGCATGAATTTATTTTTAGACCAGGTAAATTTCTACGGTGACGCGGCGCCCCTTACAAGACATCGCGGCGCACCAGGGCGCCGCGGCGCACAGTTTGGGAACCGCTGGTATACACTATACATCCATTGCGCCGGCATAAAAAAGGTAAATTAAAAAGGAATAGATCTATTGCGCTAGTATTAAAAAAGTTATATTAAAAAGTAAATTTAAATGAAAATAATTTAAATACATATATTACATACAAATTTATCTTTCTGATGAAGTTATTAGGAGGATGATGTTCATGTTTAATTTCTTCAAATAAAATTGTAGTTTTACCCTCATATCTATACGTATACAGCTTAGAGTTGCAACTTTTGTGTGCGCACCGCCTTTTATGCCCTTTTTTGGTAAGTTCCTTATAAGAAAATTTACAATTTTGGTAAATAATTAGTTCTTTACCACGTTCACTTGATACAATTTCCATTATATAAATTTAAGCACGAACCACGACAACTATACGAACAACTCATGGAATTGTACTGCACAATACTATGGATTTACCTATAACCTATAACATGGTATTTGTCCACTTTTTGTAATTTGTTTTATCTTCAAGTAATAAAATAATAAAATTCAAACTTACCTATTATATAGATATACGATATAGATGTATTAGATTAAAACACGTAAAAACCGATATGTAGTTATAATAGAAATAGTATTATAGACATTTATATATATTTAAGAATCGATCAGCGTAATTAACGTACACCATTTATTACATTCAAATATTGATCGGCGCAATTGACGTACATAATTTATAACATTGGAATATCGATCGGCGCAGTTGATGTGTAACTTTTTCCTATCCCATAATTTTTCTTTCTTTACCTGCGATTTCCGACGCAATTGAAATATGCCAATTTAATTTATACATATAGATAGATACATATAGATTATACATATACATAATTTATAACATTGGAATATCGATCGGCGCAGTTGATGTATAACTTTTTCCTATCCCATAATTTTCTTTCTTTACCTGCGTTTTCCGGCGCAATTGATAATGCCCATTTAATTTATACATAGAGATAGATAATATAGTAGTATATAGATAAATTGATGAATTTTACTTCTCGGAACAATTATTCATAATATCAACTCGCCGATAAAACACACACAAAAGAAAAAAGGTCAGGTTACAGGTAGCTGGATACCCGCGGTACAATATGTATAATAATATTACAATTTATACATTTATTTTAATTAATGTTAACTAATTATTTATTAACTTTATCGGACTAAATATATGCCTAAAACCTTCTCTGTGATGTCCTCTTTAATTTAAAAGAAACTGCACGATGATTGAATAAGTAGTTTCGGAGTTTATCCGAACAAAAAAATGAGACTTCATAGATATAGATTAATCTAAGGAATGAAATGCATTCATATTCATAAATTCGCTAGTGTTTTTCGTCATTCATCATTGAATACAATGTTGTTTGAGTAAATAATATTAAAATTTAAAACCTTTTAGAAACTTAAACAGTTTTATATCCACTAGTATATTATGTAAAATTTTAGGTATTGTTTTCTAATGAGTAAAAAAACTAAATAAATAAACTTACCCAACCGAAGGCAGATATTGCAAGGCATCAGATAGTTCTTTACCTTGAAGTTTAATATTCTCGCCGGTAATTAATTCCACGCTAATCTTCTTGAATGGAAATGTCAGTACGTTCGGTACACCGACACCGAATTTTATGCAGTTTGGTGGAAGTTTCTCTAGCACTCTCGCTGAAAGAACATTCAATAAGTGTGTTATATTTAAGTGGTATTTTATTGCTGCAATTAAAATTGAAAACACACGATAATAAATTAATCACGGGCGTATTTAGGGTTTTGTCTAGGGGGGGGGGAGGAATGCATTTATCGGGAGCACAATGACTTTGTTCAGCTACTATTTGAAGGGCTACTACTACAGACGCGTGTATGTTTTGAATTATAAAATTACCCATCTATGGACAAATATTTTATTGGAAACAAAAAATCCTTAAAAAAATACCCCAAAATAAGATCTACTCCCCCCCCCCCGTCACGTAAATACGTCACTGACATCAATCACAATATTATAGTTACTAATTTCTCGAAGTTGAGACGGCTGTCGTTTGGACGAAATGTCGTTGATGAAATATGAATAATCAATTGCAAACGGGATAGCACTGTTGTGATTGTGTGACGGTTGTGGGGCTTCATACTCAGAAATTAGACAATCTATTTGACAACGGGCCACGGTTGCTGGTTCATTAGTGGACGAATATAGATGATACTGTGCCATTTTCTGTAGGAAAAAAACACAATAATTAAAATAACAATAATATTGATTGACAAACTATCGATAAGAAAGTATTGCATTAAAATAATCCTATTTTCAAATTAGCATTGCGTAAATTCATAATATTACGTAATTAATATAATATAATACAAAATAAAAATTTGGGCAGGATATTATTTACCTACGTAATTTTTCTTCAAATTCAAATTACCCAATTAGTTGCATTATACTACCTATACACGGCTATACTTATTCTAATATCTATTTAAAATTAAAATAAGAATATATATTTTACTACCTATTTTAGACTTACCTATAGGTCATTAAATTTATTATCATTTTATAAAATAAAAAACATCACGTGTTAATAGTTACGATCTGTACAGGCCAACACGTGAAAAATGCGTGTACATAACAGAACTACAGAAGTAGGTTAACATTATTTTTATAGCATTCAATATTGTGTTATTGATAAAGAATAAAAAAAAAACAAATTAAAATACTCTATATGAAATTTTAGTTTTTAAATGTTCCATAAAAAATAAATAATTAAAAGTGCTTAGAGTTAACCCAGTTGTATCTAATCCTGAAAATATTAATTAAACCTTACATACAATATGAATAAGACTAGCTGATAAGGGATTGAACATTGAAAGTTTTAATTGTAAAAATGAATAAATGTTATTTTAATTTTTAACTTATGTTTAATGCTGCCTATATAATATGACAAAATGTGGCTCGGTGCTGCACAGTAGCTGAAATCAATCACGCAACGCGATTGGGAGTTATCAACAGCCACTGCCACTAGTTCTAGGATGGGTGACCGCCCGGGCTCGTAGTGCGTAAGAACCTTGCCACACATACACGTGTTCCTAACCGACTGTACCAACCGTCCCAACCCAACTGTACCAACCATATCAACCTACAGGCTAATGACCTCAGTCGTCGAAGCCTTAAAACCTAATAAAAATAAATATGACAAAACATTAGAATATTTTTAAACATATTTGTTTTTGTTTATAGAATTTTAATAACTCTGCAAAATGAACATTGTTAAGTGGCTTAAAATGCGATCAATTTTATTAATGAAACTTTTTTTCAAATTGATTACCTATATAGAAATAATGTTTTGCAGTCGTATTATATTTAGTTGCACTGTCTCGAAATACATTGACATTTGGAAAGAACATAACAATTTGGAGGAAAACTAAAACCTTATTTTTCGTGTCCTTTATCTATTCATGATCTTTCCTCCGAAAAGTTCTTACTCATTAAAATGACCCTTCATAATTTTCATTGTTTTACTCGAATACTCGATAGTCGACACATCACCGAGGGGTGTCACCGGTTTCCGCCAAAAATTACCTTTCCGTTTTCCGCCAATACCTTTTTCCGCCAAATCAGAAAAAACGTCATTCCTTTTTCCGCCAATTATAAATTATTGAATTTTAAAGTTTAGGAACCCTTACGTAAAGATTTAATAATTGCACACTATAGAGTTAAAAAATAATAATATTTTTTCCAGTTAATACTTATTATATATTAGTAATGATATTAGTGTACCGACAAAATAAGTCAAAAAATATAATTTTATCATAACACTTATTAGGTAGGTATAATAGATATAAGTATTAAAAAAACGATATTTATATTTGCATTGTCTTGATGACAATATGTCAATATGTCAGCGCTTGATTAATTGGCCGAAACTTGAAATTTTAAAGTTTAGGAACCCTTACGTATCATAATACTCAATTATATTTTTTGACTTATTTTGTCGGTACACTAATATCATTACTAATATATAATAAGTAATAACTGGAAAAAATATTATTATTTTTTAACTCTATAATGTACAATTATTAAATCTTTACGTAAGGGTTCCTAAACTTTAAAATTCAATAATTTATAATTGGCGAAAAAGGGAATGACGTTTTTTCTGATTTGGCGGAAAAAGGTATTGGCGGAAAACGGAAAGGTAATTTTTGGCGGAAACCGGTGACACCCTCACCGAGACAGAGTCAGACAATAGCCAGTGTTTAACAGTTTCCATCTTAAACAGTTAAACTATATACATTCGTTTCTACTGTGGACATGTCGACGTAATCTAAATAGAAATTTGAATTTTTGAATTATCGATTTTGTACGAAGTGAAGTACACTTGTACTAACTGCTACTATTTAAGTAAGATAATGGGTCAATGTTAATAGGTTCAAATATAATATATTATAGGTTCTGTGATATTTTGGAAATTACTATTAATATTAATTAATATTAATATGCCATTATTGGAATTACCTATTAGAATTGTATCTTTTGCAAAAGTTGTCCTAGTAAGATAAGTACTAGATGACATATTAATTATTATATCTAAATTATATTTTATTTTGAACTATTATTGAGTAGGTATAGTTTATTATGGTGTTGTTGTGTAACCTGTTGAGCTAATTTTTTCACAAAATTTAGGTGCCTGTTTTATTATATTATTATCTATGTATTTTGTGTGAAAATTACCTCTTTTAATGTACCACAGGTTATTATCACTCATAATTTTATATAATATATAATATAATTATCGATGAATATGCATAGGCGCAACTAGGGTTAAAATTGTGGGGGGCTAGAGCACATTTAACAAAATTATTAATTAAAAATAACCCATAGAAGGCTTATATCTAAATCAATAAAGAATATTTGGGGGGGGCTAACCCTACCCACCATATTTCCCCACTTGCACCACTGTGTATATGTATTGTTTTTATATAAGCTTTTGAAAGGCCTCATTGACAGTCCAGATTTATTGCAGATGATCTCTTTTGATTTACCACAATAGTGATCACAGGTCATTTTCGTAGTTTCTGTACCATAATACAACTGAACAATTTCGCAAAAAATATAAATAAATTGAATGTTAAACTTCTGTAATGATTTAAATATTTTTATTTTCAATAGATAATCAGACGAAATTAAAGTATTGTGCAATAAATGTATTATAAATTATAAAATAATTATAACATAATATTAATTATGTATATATTAATTATGTGCACTTCATATTATGTACAATTGTACAAATATATAATAATTAATACCACGTTAATTGTACTGTTGAACCCGTGGGTGTAAATGATTTAATAAATAAATAATGAATAATAAATATGGTATCATTATTATTGGTATTAACTTATTGCATACGGTATTTTATACTATAATTGTCAGGCTAAGACCAAATCATTTTTTTCTAAATTTATATTTTAGAAGTAATTTTTGCTTCTTTGTGAAAAATGAAAAAAATATCAAATATACGTAGAGCAACATATGTGTATTTTGGTTTTAGAGTACTACAATTCACTGGAAAATGGGTGTCCCTATAACATATGTCTATTTTGATTTCTAAACTTATTTGACGGAGATGGTCAATTTACCTGTGGAATTATCTTTTAATAACTTATCATTTAATATCAATCCTTTTGTTAAATGGCTAAAATAATAGAACATTATTATAGGTACTTAATATTAGCCTAATACTTAACCTAACGTAAAGTTTTAATATGACCAATTTTATTTTAAAAATCAATGTTTGTTTATTTTAATAGTTGGGTACTTAAAAATTTAAGTTAATACTGATTCTTTTGTGTTATAATAAATAATTAATTACTAAAATAGATTAAAACTTACCAATTTCATGAAAATATTTTTTCTTAAAGTCTTCATAATATTATATCTCTGTTAGTTAAAGAATTATTTATAGTTAAAAGTTTAGAATATAAAGTTTTTGAACTAAACCCGTTCAATGCTAATCATGAAGTATATTATTTTAAATGTATTTTAACCCACCCATTTAAAATTATAAACTTCAAATTAATTAGTTTGAATTATTTTGTATCAAATATTATATCTTGAAAGAAAAAAATGGTTGAGCTTTATGGTTGTTATGATTTAATAAATTATTATAACGTGTTAAACCGCGAACTGTATGACTACTGTTAACTTAAGAACAGTATAAATAGTATATTCAAACCATAAATAAATGAATCGATAAACATGATTAATGTTTCTGGTCTTATCGAAATTGTTGTCCAACCTTACAACTATATATCAATCAAAACATTAATTATTGAGTGTACTTACAAGCTACCAAATTACAATAATTCACAAAGCTTATATAATAGCATTTTTATTTTTTTTATATATCCTTAAATAAAATAATATACCAATACAGTTAGGCAATCGCCATATGTTTTCTAAGTTAAAATAATAAAATAAAATTGTATTACGTTTTTAATGTTGAAAGCTTCTTAGTCTTTTGCGGTAAAATCTTCGGAACTTGTTTGAATATTATACTGAAAATACAAACGTCGGAATCTGAAAAACTTAAATGAATATAATGATCACTTAATAAAGGTAATAGAACATAGAATAAATGATAAATTAAAACTAAATGGTAGGTAGTACATCGGGTTTTATATCGGCAATATTATGGTATTGAAAAGTGATAAGAGGTTAAGTTGCTTTTTAATTAACGTTTAAAACTATAGCGACTGTACTTCCTAAATATAATCAGTCGATAGAAAATTTCATTATGTGGATCATATCAATAAACAAGGTAAAAAAAAACTAATTAATAAACATGCATTAATGGCAAAATAATATTATCATTGATTCCATGTTGTTGTTACTTGTTAATGATTATAAAATTATTATAATGGTCCAATTGAGATATTTTATTTGTAATGATGAAATATACTAACGATTTGCTGTATATTATAGGTATCAAATGTCGGTACCAGTTAATATTTTAGTCACGGAAATAGATGTGTTAAAATATTTTAATTCTCAATTCAATGACAAATAGTTGCATATAGATTAGATAATTATGCTGAGCATGAAAAACGGTACAGAAAAAATTATGTAAAATAAAAATTCATGTACCTATTGTAAAACCAATATTATATTAATTATTAAATATTATATAATATACATACCTATTCATTTTACTGGTGTCAGTTAAAACAGCCAGAATAAAAATCGTGAAATATTTTAACGAAAAGTAAGAAATTCTTTTCGATAAGTACCTACATGTTTCCTGTATATTTGCAAGATAAATAGTAAGTAGAATAATATATAAAACGATTACCATCACAATATTATGAAATACTATTTCAATTTGATATATATTATAATATGACAAATTATCGGCAATACCCCTTAGGTGTAATAGGTATGTCCCTGTTATCGTATACCTAGTCATTAACTAATATTGTTTAATTGTATATCCTTCTTGAGTTTTTGTGGACAGTTCAATATACTACCCTCGAGAACAAGGTTGATCAGGTGATAGTGTACTGTATAATAATATATTACTATAAATTATAATTACATAAGCCTTTGTATACGCCGTTGCTATATCGTGTTCGATTGTGTTAGTGTATATGAACGTGGATCATAAGTTCTTTTATTGAACCTGTAAAATATAACTTAGACAACTTTATTTATATCGACCCAACAACCTGCTGGTTCTCATTACCGGGTCGTGTAGTGAGATAGCTAACCAACTATTCATTAAGGTACCTATTAGGTATAAATATCGACATCCACTTGGTTAGGAAGAACGAAGGAATTGTGATATTATACAGTCCAGGCAACGGACGACTATCGGTAATAGAAGATTCAACCACAGCTTACCTTTTGTAATATATAATATTTAGACTTAAATAAAAAACACGGGATAACTAGTGGCGACGGCCCATATGGAATGTTGGGTTATTCAATACATATATACATACGATTTAGGCATAAATATATATATACGCACTCCTTGTTTACACACTCGACACATGCAACACATAAATAATATTAAACACCTCTCCGTTCAGACGTTTAGTAAAAACAACACAATGAATTATCAGTGGCACCAGATGACACCATATATTATAAAATCATGAACCCATTCTTACTCATATATTATACTTCAAGACCCCTTCTATAATTTTCCGATCAAGACATAAGGTCAAAACACCAATATATTATGTTAATTCTTATTAAAATTTAAGCAGAAACAATATCGAAAAGGTAGATCGATAGTTAGAGTCAAGGTATTAAGGCCATTGCCATAGGGCATTGGCCAATAGGTTTAATAGACTTGGAGTCTTAGTTTATACCTAGTTTATATTTTTGTAAAACCATATTTAAGAATTATTATCCTTATTATGAATATTTTAATTGTTTTAAAAATTATTAAGAGGACGTGATACCCGCATGTGTTGTCTTCGTCTTACAAGTGCATAACATAGCAAATTATACGCAAAGCAGAACACGTGTAGCTCCGTTAGCTTAAAAATTAGAGTGAATTTACCTCTTATAAAATCTAAAGGTAAGATTATTATCTAGATCAGTGGTTCTCAACCTTTTTACTACCCCGGACCACTTTGATAATATTTTATAGGTCGCGGACCACCTTAATTGTACGAAGACCTTTTTTTTGTTCATCAACAAGAATACACAAAATTAATCAAAACATGTTCATTTTTGTGTTCACTTGCAATTGAAAGCCGAATCAATAATGTAGATACGAAACAAATTGGTGCGATAGTATACGGGTAATATAATATACAATAAAATTCCCAACACTATACTAAAAATAGTTCAGATAACAACACAATACGGACCGGCATCTCTTTAATCGCGGACCGGCACCGGTCCGCGGACCGGCGGTTGAGAACCACTGATCTAGATAACCTCATGGGCATTTTATTATATTTTAATTTTAAAGCGAAATATGAGTATTTTAAAATTGTAAATTGCTTATACAATTTAAAGTACTCATAACTCGCTTGAAAATTAAAATATAATAAAAAGCTCATGCGGTTGTCTAGATATTAATCTTACCTTTAGATTTTATAAGAGGTCAATTTACTCTAATTTTTAAGCTAACGGAGCTACACATGTTCTGCTTTGCGTATAATTTGGGTCAGTGGTAAGCCCTTTGTTATTTTTAAGTGTTCTCAATCGTTATGCCAAAAAGGTATAACGTTCTCAATCGTTCGATATCCTATAATACAGTAGTAGAACGATCTTACGCCGAAACTCTTAAGAGGTTGTCGCATCCGCATGTGTTGTCTCCGTTTTCCCACGTTCGACAAAGGGGACATTTTCGTTAGATAGTTTCAATAGATTGATGTCAGTTTTGATACTAGAGTGAATTGACCTATTGTAAAACTTTTAGGTAACAACATTATCTGTGTTCTCTCGTTTTTTTTTTTACGATATTTTAATTTTTAAGTGAGTTATCACTTATCAGTATGTAAAATATTAATATTTGAAAATGTTCATAACTATTTAAAAATTAAAATATCGTAAAAAAACAAATAAAAGAATACAGATAATGTTGTTACCTAAAAGTTTGAAAATAGGTCAATTCAGGGGCGGATCTAGGGGAGGGTTCAGGAGGTCAGCTGACCCACAGTTAATATTTTCTGATCAAATTGGCCTCTTTTCAGATCTTGAGTAGTTGGACCCTTAAATAAACACACATATAGTATAAATGAATTTTAGATTCTGAGTGGAACGATGAATGTATTGATTTTACAATGTGTGTTTTTTTTTTTTAATTTTTTTGATTTATTTTTGTGCCTGTGTACACGATAGGTATCGAAATAATGCTTCGATTTTCAACTTCAGTATCTTGTTCGATTGGAAAGTGAATCTAGTTGGTGCATTCGGGAAGTAAAATTTTAAAATTCCCAATAGTTTTCACAAGCGCCGGGATTAAACACATAAAAATTAAGGAATAACGGAAATTTTTACTCAAAATCTGTTTTCCAAAAAATCGATTTTGGTTTTTGGTGTAACTCTAAAACAAATGAACGTAAATACATGAAATTTTCACTGGTTGCTTATATTTGCATTTTCTATACACGATAAAATTTTTAAAATATTATGATTTGTTTTGAACTGTTTAGGGACATTTTCATTTAAGTCCATTTTATAAGCATTTAAAGTTCAAATTTTGTCAAAATGACAGTTAATTTGTAGTTCAAAACTTATAAAATATAAAATATATTATATAGCTAAGGCTAGACAATTTAATACAAGGTCTTTCATACAAGTAGTTCATACTTTTACCTAAAAATTACAGATAATTTATGAAAATTGGTATGCAAATACAATGTTCTTTCAAAAATGAATTCATTCTGGTAAGACATATATGAAATTTACTTCTTGCTTACTATAGTTGACAGTTTAACTTGATTAATATTTTTTTGAAAAAGTAACAATAATACGGGCAAAGGGGGGGTTTCAGCCTTTTAGCCCCCCCCTGCGGACGCCACTGCACACACACACACACACACACACACACACACACACACACACACACACACGAAATCACATTTCCTCATAGTCTTTTTTTAAACTAATACAAACACTAATGTGGCACATTGTCAAGCACCAACGTCGTAGTGAGGATTTCTCCGAAGGACACAGGCAACCGGTCTCACTAGCTGCTTCCCTTCGCCCATTGAAACAGGTTATAAAGTCTGCATATTCATCGTACATTACTTATCGTATTTAATACAAATACACACCTATTTCACAAAAAAACTTTTACCTTCCCTTACCGCATATTTTCTCCCTACTACACTTTAATATGTGATCCGAGACTCCCAAAAGTAAAAAATTATACATTGATTAGGTACCTAGTATTATTATTACTT